GCAACATGTCATTTTTAGACACACATAGCAGTTAAGGTGGCTTCTTCCTTGACACAAAAATTTAAAGTGTACTCACCTTACAGGCGTCAACCTGTTTTTTACCATCTGAACCAGCACATATCATGCCTTTGGTGATAACAGGGTCAAAATTGTAATATTCAGGAGAGTTGCACTTCACTCTGTCGATCACAGTCACGTTGGCAGACATCAGGACATCTGAAGCTTTCTTGGCAACGTTGTTTGTTTTCCCCCATCCAGCCACCAGACAGCTGCTGCCAGCTGCTGGTTCTTTGACGGTGTTACCCAACGGGAGACATTTCACCGTCTTGGTTTGCTTCGCCGGTTTGGCAAGCTGAAATTTAAGAAAGGAAACATTGTGTTTTGATGCTGATTGTCTGTGTTTTGCCTTTAGCACTTGTCACAGCACTGGGAAAGAAGTTTTTCACGAATGCCTGTCACAATGTCTTCCGCTGTTATTTTTATTTTCTCACTGTCTCCAGGCGCTTTTACCTCACCCAGGCCCATGCATTCCCTGCAAACTCTCTGGACTTGCCATTCTCCATTCGTCCACCAGATGCCCTCAGACTTTACCACCAGTCCCAGTCACCTTACTCACACCTTAGTCATTTACCTGCTAACCTGTTTCCACTTTCCCTCATCAGCCCCACAGTATATAACCAGTCCATTTCCATGCTTATGTTTTTGCTCTCTACGCACCTGAAACTGATGTATTCCTGTTTTTTGGCCTGCTCATTTGTCATGCCCTTCCTGGATTCGTTTGACTGTTTGGACTGCAGTCTGCAGTCCTTTGCCCTACTTCTAAGCCTATAGTATTTTAAGCTTTCATGATTGCCCCTCATCGTACCTTCTTGCCTGGAATGTTTTGTCTGCATTTGAGTCTTCCTTCTGTTGTCAGAATCCACCAGCCTTCTTGTTTCCACCTTCCCTAAATGTACTGTGCTTCTTGAAACATTTTTTATTGTTATGGGTAAAAAAAACAACTTTCAGCTACAGACTGTTGCAGCAGAAATGTCATTACAAGGCTGGTTTGTTCAAGTCGAATCATGTTGACCTGATTTTGGATGTTGCCAGTAAGCATTTAAGATATGCAGCTGCCTGCCTTTGCATTGGCAATGATTTGACTTGGATTAAATTTGATGTGCAGTCTGGCATCTTTAAACAATCTTAGATATTAACTTCAAACAAATTGCTCCATATATGTTTCTCAGTCTTGAACTTTCCTAAAGTGTAGATTGTTGCATCTTTGCTTTGCCTTACCTTGAGCAGCATGAGGTCATTGACCTTTTCTTTTTCATCAAAGCAGGGATGAGGATAATGGCTCTTAACACTGATGACCTGCCTGGAGTCCTTTTCCTTTTTGCTGATGGAGTGCACCCCCAGTAACACCTTCTTAATGCTGCAAGAGCAAGAAACATTTTTATTAGTTCACATGCCCTAATGTTGAATCTGCTAGGAGTGCATAAATAATGATAAATTGATTACTTTATCACAGTTGCATCTTTACATGTGCATCATCAAATACGACTTATAATAAGGTCGGGATATGGCTTTTTTTCTCCAGTATAACTAGGTACAGGGACTTCACTGGTACAGTAGTTAAATGGTGAGTTTGTCTTCAAACAGAGGTGATATGACGGTGTGGTGGTTACTGAAAGTGTCAAAATTGACTCAAGGGTGTGGGCTGATGTAAAATGTAATGTTTATTTTCACACTACATTTTTAGCTTCAGTCTCCACAATATCTTTCATCAGTAAAAATTAAAATTAGTTTCTGTGCATATCATGAGATTTGACAATTTTTCAAATGTATGTATCTTGTTCTTACCCAACACAGTGGGCGGCAGTCAGGACCCATTTTGGATGGATCAGTGTCCCTCCACAGATCGGATTCGCCATCAGAGCCATGAAAGGCATTGAGTGGGGCTGCACTTCTTTCCCACCAATAATCTCAGAACCATGACCTAAAACACAACACACACTCCGTTAATCAGTTTAACAAAAGAGTAGATGAATTAGTCAGAAACTGGTCATCCAAATAAAACACATCCCTGGCTGCACTGTAATATTGAAAGTAGCATTACTTTCTGTATGTTTACATGAATAAAAATGATATCAGATGTAAATGACTGGGATATATAAAATAGATTACTCACTGGGCTGGACAATGAGGAAGACAACACAAGAGATAAAAACAGTGAAACCCCTCAGGCAGAACATTTCTTCTGATCTCTCTTTGATGTGATGGTGAATGCTCTGAAACCCACCCCGATGCACACACTCATCTTTATGTGTTGAGCTCGAGGATGTGGTCTGACCGTGGAAATGCATGCGTCAGCAGAATAGATGCAAGTATGACACGAGAATAAATGCAATTTATCGTCATGTAGAAGCCTTGTGGTTGCATTTCTTTGTCATTTCCCAGTCATTAGTACCATTTCATTGACAGGCTGTGGTGTGAAGCAGGTCGCATCATCAGTGTGCAGACGGTTCACTGCGGGTGGGCCCAGTGTGAAACGGCTAAAACTGGAGGCTGTTGTCAAACCTTTCAGCTACACTAATGAATATGTGTTAATAACTTCGTATTATGATTCAGAGGAATTCATGAGCAAGTGGAAGATATTTGTTGAGGTGGCACCAGGCTGGTGGAGGTGAATGATTTTTAAATTTAAAAAATACAAGGACAGAAAGAAGAGCAGCAGGAATATGGGGTACTGGGGTCGTGGCTACAAGCCACCCAGTCTTTGTATAACCAACATGAATGTTTTCATGTTGGTGCAGGCCTCCACCAGGGTTGTCCCTAAAGCCAAATCTTTTTGGTATATTTATAGTCAGGATGTTAAGGTGCAGTGGATGAAAGGACCTCATTATTGCATCTCTGCTCTTTGCAGATGGTGTGGTTCTGTTTGTTTTATCACATTGTGACCTCCAGCACATACTAGGGCGATTTGCAGCTGAGTGTGAAACAGTCAGGAAGTCAGTACCTCCAAGTCTGAGGGGTTCGCAGCTGTAAAACAGTGGATTGGTCCCTCAGGGTTAGGAGAGACTTGCTCCCCAAGCGAAGGAGTTCAAATTTCTTGGGGTCTTGTTTATGAGTGAGGGTAGAATGGAGAGTGAGATGGACAGGCAGTTTGGTGTGGTATTAGCAGTGATGCCGGCTTTATGTCAGCCTGTTGTGGTGAAGAGGGAGCTGAGGTGGAAGGAAAAGCTTTTGATTAACTAGTCTATCTACTGCATGTTCCAACCCTCACCTATGATCATGAGCTTTAGGTAGCGACTGAAAGAATGAGCTCACGATACAAGTTTCCTCTGTAGAGTGATTGGGGTCAGCCTTGAGATAGAGTGAGAAGCACAGACATCTGGAGTAGAGCTGCTGCTCCCTTGCATTAATATGGGCCAGTTGAGGTGGTTCATTCATCTGAGGATGTCTCCTGAGGAGCCCAAACATCTGAAGTAAGCCGGCAGGGACATAACCTCAAGACCAGCTCAAGATGGTTGTGGTTGATGAGAGCCCACAGTTGGAACCCTTCTACACGTGAAGGCTAATCGGTCTTCACTGCCGCATTCAGGCGAGGTGTACAGGCTAAGGGGCAAAAGGCTTGTGACCTTAAGATACATGCTGTTGCTGCAAATGTGGATACTCTAACCACCACGAGATACCATCATGAGAAGAAACTTAAAACACCATATCCTGTGCAGCTCCTGCAGTTCCTACTTGTAGCAAAACATCTTTGATGTCTACTTCACCAGCTTCAGATTGAGCAAGACTAGCTTTTTCCCCCTCTTTCCTGTCTTTATGCTAAGCTGAGCTAAGCTAAGCTAAGCTAACTATTATTCTGTTCAACTAACTCTCCGTCAGCAAACAAAGAAGCATCTTTCCCAAAATGTGAATCTTTTGCTTTAATTATTTCTCAAATATGAAAAAAATAGTCATGCCAACCATCTTATAGTATATATTTATTCATCTGACACTTAGTTACATGAGCAGCTACCGAAGATAGCAACAAGTTGCTTACACAGTACATTTCTACTGTAGAATACAATACTGTCCAATACCCAAAACATGTTATATGTTATATATTATCCTAAATGCACCATAGATCTTAAAAAGTTAAAGATAAAGGTGCGAGGCAAATGAGAATGGCAAGATTTGTTGTCACAAATACTTTCTTTATATAAACATAAACATGTTCATTGCAGTCACATCACTATGTGCTTTAGATTTAGCTTTCAAAGCTGATAATTATTTCTTTTTGTGTCACAATACTGTAAATTTTATTTTCTTGTTTGAAATGTGAATTTTTGCTTTGGCTCCAAAACATCCAAATGAATGAATATCAGCAAAGGCCCAATGATGATAATAAACACTGATAATCTGACTCGATCAGCATATGGTTAGAGGCCAAAATTTTAGATATTGTTTAAAAAAAAAATACTGAAAAAACAACAATAACAATACAAATAAAAACAAAAAGTTGATAAAAGCATAAAAGTGCAAAAATAAAAATAAAGCTAAATGCCATAACTAATACTATTAGAATTTGCTGCCACATTCACGTTAATGCTTTCTTTGAAATTTAATTTTGAACTACAATATTCTCATATATAATTTCATTGAAATAATGTTCTTAAGGCTTTAGATCACTTTTAGGGTCCTTTGTAACATCAGGCCAAGGAGGCCAGATGAACTTTACCTTTAGCTAGCTCTGGACCAATTCACATTTACTGACCTTGTGCCCTTTGAAATAAACTAAGTGGATAATCCCTGAGAGAGGTTTTAGTTGTCATATTATGGATCCAAAAGACCAAACAAAAATGAAAACAGATAAACAAAAAAACAAAAGAAAAAACAGTTAAAAAAAAACAAAACAAAGAAGCTTATACTTCTTCTTGCTGCTGATTCAGTTTGTATGTGAACAGCATGCATTCTTTCTCTGCAGCAGTCACATGACGTTGCACCACTGCAACCTACAGTTTAACAATTACATTATATTTAGAGAATATGTTTCAAATCACTTCTGTTGTACAGATCAACTTAATCTTAACAGAAAGGAGAGCCTTAAAAGGCTGATCACACATTGTTTCCCAGCTTTAAGTAAACCTTCTACGTCAACACTGTTCGTATGTACTGTGTAGCTATGAAAAGTACTGCACCAAAATTGTTATATATTCCAATCAAACATGAGCTAGTAATACGTGAATAACCCACATACTTTGGAAATCTGCAATCACATGACCAACACGCTGACGGAAGTAAAGAAATAAGTCGTCTGGTTGGGGTGGTGGATGGGTTTTTCCTCCAGGAGACAGGTGTGAGACCAACCAGGTGAATTTGGTGTTATTTTAGGCAGTCAACATGTTTCTTTTCCTAAATCTAACCAAAGAAACTTTACTTCCCTTATCATATCATCTATGTAACTTAATGTTAGGTACGTAATGTAATTTGTGGGGACGCTAATTCATTAGATATCATACAAACCTTTTGTGAGGATATGTTGTGACACTACAATCATCCACGTGTCCACTGAAGATCATTTGCTCTGTTGCTCCATGCTCAGCCTATACTATTTAAGAAATATGACACAAAAATACCCTAAAATTTCTACTGACTGCTTTCCATGGATATAGTAAATAAACATGGGGGACCATCACAGGTTGTGTAAAGTTAAACATCATAGTTGCTTATCAGAACTAGCTCCAAAAACGTACATAAAATACATAAAATTTATCGAGAAAATAGCAATTTTCTTAGTTGTATAACTATGGATATTGTGGGTAACCCACATTCACATCTCTGTTGATCTTGATCCATGTCATAGGCATTAAGAAACTGATCAAAATCAGCACTTACTGTGTTTCTGTACAGAAACGGTAGAGGAACAGACCATTATCATTTAATTAGGCCCACATGTTTCACTATGGCCACATGAATGTTATAAGATTTTAAGTGTTTAGTTGTTGTATAGCATGCATGCTGTAAAGTCTATTCTATAAAGTTTTAAAACTAATCCACAAAAACAAAACATGCAAAAACATCCAAATTTTGATTCATATCAACTTTCAGTAGTGCCTCTGTGCAACAAGTGAGCTCTCGAAGGTGTAGCTGAAAGGTTTTTTTTTTTACTCTGAAGCAGCTGCAGGAGTTTTAAATTTGCATTGACACCCCTGTTCCTACAAAATAAGGTGAACGATTACAGATCTCAAAACAAGGCTCTAATTGGTTAGATGAGTACAGGAACTGGGACGTTAAAAGTCATTGATTTGTTTTTCATAACTGCTGGTGTGGGGTAGCCCTTAGGTGTAGAGTTTGCATGTTCTACCTGTGTCAGCGTGGGCTTTCTCCGGGCACTCCGGCTTCCTCCCACAGTCCAAAAACATGCAGGTTAATTGGTGATGCTAACTTGACCATAGGTGTGAATGTGAGTGTGCTCTACTGGTCAGCCCTGTGATAGTCTGGTGCCTGTCCAGGGTGAACCCTGCCTCTAGGCTCTGCGTCTAAGAAGAAGCTAAACAACATCAGCAGGGTAAATCATTCTAGTGGAAATACTGAGATTGGTTTATGCAAAAATGGAGCAGGATGGAGCAATGAAGCAAAAGATGAATAGGACTCATGGATCATTTTTATGTCAATATTCTGTCACCTAGACCCCGATCTCAGGCATGTTTCTATTTTTTCCCTTCCTACCTGACTGCTCTGGTTTTCTCAGGGATCAGATCAACAATTGTTTCCTCAGTTGAGAGCTCCACACGTAAGACGTCATGATCTGACTCCTTGAAATCACCTGGGGAAGGATAAAGAACGACGTGGAGGATAAATATTTGACATGTCTGTGTATTATGAGGAGTATGTTATGTATTCATTTTTTTATATGGTTGGGGAGACTTGCCTTTTTTCAGGATATGATAGAAAACCCAGAGTGGAGGAGCCAGAGATACGAGCTTTAACAGCTTCAGGGTGATGATGATGACTTTGTGCTGCCTCCCAATAGATTCCACTGTGAAAGAGAAAAGACAATGTTGCATCATGTAGACCATCATTTTTTAAGATTGTTTTAGTGTGTTAAAGTATTGACCAGCCATTGGTATCAAGACCTTTATTTCTTACAAAGGTGGTGGTTTTTAGTAGGACTAATAACACTATTTAATTGTTTATTTTTTCATTATTTTACTATTTCTTCCCCATCTTCCAATTGTAGAAGGCCATACCCATTTTGGTAGTGTTGCAATAAAGGAATATTGTCAATTATCCCTTGAATGAATTACCAAAAGTGTTTATTATTGTTATGTAAGAAACCTAAAGCAACACAAAATTCACAGCACATAAATTACATTTGAGTCCTTTGTACCTGTTTTGACTTGTAAGGCTGTTGGGTGACTTTGAAGGGTCACGTTTCCATCAGTGACACTGTCAGGCCGAACAATAAAAGCCAAAATCTCAATGAAGTACTCAGTGGCTGAAGTCAGGTTGGAGATGCTGATGTTCATAAAGCCAGAGCCATTGGTGTATGGGACAAGGAGCGATCCACATGTGTTGGTGCATGTCGTCACATTGTAGTAGTGTGGTGTCATCTGCATAAATGCTGAGACGTTCCAGCTGAGAATCACTCGATCAGAGCCCACTGAGTCCATCCTCACTGGCTGCGGAGAAACTGGACCTGTGAGTCGGAGTGAACAAGTCAGAGAAAAGTTTTAGGCCAACCTACACCTGTAATCTTGTGGTGGAGTCTGTTTCCTGGACAATTGTTTCCCCACTTGTTGTTGGAGTTAGGTCTTACAGTAGGACATTGAACATCACAGAGATGAGTGGTTTGAGTAAGGGTACGGCTACTTTAAGATTCAGTATTGCAGGAATCTAATGTTATTATAGTGGCTATATGGTAGGCTGACCAAACGTCCTCTTTTGCCCGGACATGTCCACTTTTCATGTCCTGTCCGGGGCGTCCGGGAGGGTTTTATAAACTGATGATAATGTCCGGTTTTCCGTGTGTTTGTGTGTGTGTGTGTGTGTGTGTGTTAGAGTGCGGCCACATATTTCTGCCGAACCCGAACCGAGCCCGACATTATTTAATGACCAAAGCACTTAGTGTGTGTCACACAGTGGTTACAGGCTATTTAACAGGCCGGGCGTGCTCAGCATAGAGGGAGACCTCCGTGTTTGAGACGGGAGCGGGAGGTCCGACGCTTCTAGCGAGAAGAGATGGAGACATAAAACAAAATAAGATAAAATAGGAAAAACCTGTCTCCCTCTTTTATTTTATTTTCAGCGTTTAATCAAGGTGGAGGTGGGCGGCTGGAGGTCCGAGACTTCCAGCGAGGAGAGAGGTAGAAACAAACAGCCAATGTGTGTCTGTGTGTGTTATGATTAGGTATTGTCACGTAAATAACAGTGCCCAAGCAATAAACAGGACAGACAATAGGATTCTATGTATTTTTACACTACATTTTCACTGAAAGCTGACCGAATCCGACCTGAGCCCGAATACAATTTATATAGCTATAACGGGTCGGCCCGGGTTTGGTCAAAAATGTAGCTCTACATTTTTGACCAAACCCGGCCGACCCGTCGGGTACCGTCGGGCTCGGATCGCCACACTCTAGTGTGTGTATGTGTCCCCTATATCTGAATTTCTGTCTTTGAGAGATATTTTGTAATAAAACTGAATTTTCTATCCATACATATTTCTTTTTAAATATATTAAAATGATAAGGCATCTTTGAGTAAACTGCGAGTATCATTTAAGTAGTCATGGCCGGCCGAGTGTCCTCTTTTTTGGAAATCAAAATATGGTCACCCTACTATATGGAGCCAGGTCAGTAACTTTTTTTTTCTATGCTCTTACTATCTTCTTTTATTCTGATATCTTTTGTATTCCTATGTGTTTTTTAATATTATATTATGTAGTCCAGTAGGCCATGACATTGAATGTTACACAGGAAACCTGAAACTGAAGCAGCCAAATGAAACTCAACCATTATTGATATTTTTATTTACACGTCCTAATGTGACATGCCAAAATGGCTTCTGTGAGAACTACTGTCCCTTTTCTATCAATAATGGTTGACAGGTAAAAGCAGGAAAAAACAAGGTGTCACATACCATCACATAATGAATGGCACCACTGTCTGAATCGTACAGCCAAGAAGCATTACTCACCCTGACAGACAAACATGTGCAGCTCATCACAGTAGCGTGCCAGCAGTTTCTTGTCTTTCTTCAGCATCGCCTCCAAACTTGCACAGCGGCCTACATAGTTTATCTTGTACCAGTCTTCATAGCTCAGCTCCTCCCCGTCCACCCACTTCCAGCCGCTGGACACACTCTGACGCTGCAGGCCAAGCCAAAAGCTCATTTTGCTTGCAGCAGTGGCATTGAGGAGAGTGAAGTATTGCTCTTCTGTGCTCAGGACAGCAAGGTCGACATAATGCTTTCGACAGTACTCCCGGGCTTTGAACCAGGATGTAGGTCTCTGCACCAGGAAGTGGTGGGAGATGGCCTGGCCCACTGCTAAGTCATGGCACACCACTGAGGCAGGGGATATTAAGAGAGGGGAGAATAGTTGAGTTATTAACTGTGTTTCTGGCCTGATTTCATGCCTGTGCACCTGTGCATGCAGCTGAATGGACTTGTGACCACGATCAGTCCTTTAACATTAAGTACTGGCCAACAAATCCAATAGAACTGTTGTTTTTGTTAATTATTTCCCTCATATCATACTTAGGCTACAATAATATTTCATAAAAATACAGTAAAATCTGTAGAAGCATTTAAATCAGAACAATAGGATCGCTCTGCTTTAAGCTATAATAACAAGAAGTTTGGCACGGGCTCTCTCCATCTCCAGTGTGAGTTAAATATTAGTTCTGCTGCAGTTTTTCAACAGGTAAAATAGCTATCACAAAGAGACACAAAACAACAACGAAGATGTAAAACAACCACTAAGAGATTTAAAACAACTATAACGTGACACAAATCTACTCTACAAAGAAAACTACGACTACTACGACAAAAGAGATGCAAAACAACAGCAAAAAGATGCTAAACAAAGAGATGCTAAAAAACTACAAAGAGGCACTAACTGGCCACAAAGAGCTGCAAATCAACCAAAAAAAACATAAAAAACACAACAAAGACACACAAAAAACACAAATGCAAACAAAACAATTACAAAGAGATGCAAAAATGACTACAAACATGCAAAACAAAGATGCAAAACAACTACAAAGATGGAAAACAAACTCTAAGAGATGCAAAACAGCAGAAAGAGACACAAAACAACAACAAAGACATGCCAAACAATAAAGAGATGCAAAATAACCACAAAGACACAAAACGACCACAAAAAAACATAAAAAAAACAACAAAGAGACACAAAAAGCAGAATTACACACAAAACAATTACAAAGAGATGCAAAATGATGACAAGCATGGCTCTAACTTATTAGACATAACAAAATTATATCAAGTGCCAGCTGTTACAATTTGTCATTGTATTTAATAATCTTGTAAAATCCTGTACTAAGTAATTTAAACTACAAACAACTTATAAAATGCAATGTCAAAGTTTGACCAAAGTTACAACAGTTACCCAGAAGAGCCAGTTGCTGCAGAATCTGCGTCTCATAGGCAAACATACAGTAAAATCTTTGCTTTCTCCTGGAGAGAATGTGTTCTGCAAAACATAACACATCCTCTTTCCCTCGCGTCTGCCTTGGGATGTTTATAAAACAGGCTCACACTATGGGGTGATGCAAGAGGTGGAGAAAGTGGGAGTGCCCATTTGTGTGCTCACCTGTTTCAGGAAGTTTTTAACTTCATTACCTCACAATGATTCTTTGATGTCACCACTATATTGTAATTCCATACACACATTTACAACCTGCTTGGGTATCACTAAACTGTTGCACCACTTAAAAAAACTTTCTCATAATAGTGGTAAACATAAAACAGCTTATTGTGTAGTTTGGTGTTTGAATGGGCTCAACAATGAAACTGAACACCAGGAGAAAGGTGATCAGCTTTTATGTGAGGTGCTAAAAATAACGATATGTGGCTCCTCCCTGAAGTCTATTTTAAGCACTGGCAATCTCGAAGTTTCTGTGTACTGTGTAACTTTGACCTTTAATCTTATAATGAATTACTAAAGAACAATCCACAGCCTCTAAAAATACATGAAGAAGAAGAAATATTTAAGGAAAATAAAGTGTGGGTGAGCTTAGCCTCTGCTTTGTTTCCTCAGATGAACACTAGAAAACTGGTTTTAATGTGAAAGAGAAAGTAGGCTATCACAGGCAGCTTAGCCTATATCAGTGGGTAAGGGTCTGAATAATTAACTTATCGGGCCTTTGTGACATTTAAGGTTGTAAACAATAGCAGTAAGGACTCTATGCAATGGAGAACTAGATTTAGAGTTGGACTTAAAAAGGTTTACATTCAGTGTAAAGTGCAAAGCATCAGCACTTACAAACAGCTGTTAAAGATTGACACAGTGTGGCACCACAGCAGCCTGGTGGTTTAGACTTTAAGGCATCAACTAAGGACAAGCCAACATGTTCTCCCTTTCTCTCTTCCCTTGTGTCCTGTCATCACTCCATTTTAAACTCTCTAATAACAGCATAAAACAAACCATTTATTCGTTCAATCATTTTCGTAACTGCTTATCCTGTTAGGGGTCGCAGGGGGCTGGAGCTTATCCCAGCTGACATTGGGAGAGGCAGGGTACACCCTGGACAGGTCACCAGACTATCACAGGGCTGACACATAGAGACAGACAACTATTCACACTCACATTTACACCTACGGACAATTTAAAGTCACCAATTATCCTGCATGTCTTTGGACTGTGGAAGGAAGCTGGAGTACCCGGAGAAAACCCACGCTGACACGGAGAGAACATGCAAACTCTACACAGAGGGGCTCCCCCACCCCGGGGGAAACGAATATATAAAAATACTTAAAGAAACCCCACTGCTCTTAAAAATGTAACACGACTTTATGGCCATGCTAGCTGCTCTATGAGTCTGTACACAGTGGTCAGCATGCTAACATGCCAATGTTTAGCAGGTATAATGTCTCTCATGTTCACCACCTTAGTTTTGCTTTATAGCATTCTAACATTTGCTAATTAGTAGCCTAGTAAACAGAAAGTAAAGCTGAGGCTGATGGGAATGTCAAGTGTAAGTATTTTATCCATCCATTCATTTCTAACTGCTTATCCAAAGCTGGGTCAACGAGGGCAACAGGCTGAGCAAAGCATTACAGATGTCCCTCTACCTGGCAACGCTTTCCAGCTCCTCCTGAGGGACCCCAAGGCGTCCCCAGGCCAGATGAGATATGTAATCCCTTCAGCGTGTTCTGGGTCTACCCCAGGGCCTCCTACTAGTGGGACACCTCTAACAGAAGGCACCCAGGAGGCATCCTGATCAGATGCCGAACCACCTTAACTGACCCCTTTTGATGCAAGGGGGAGCAGCGGCTCTACTCTGAGCTCCCTCTGGATGTCTGAGCTCCTCATCCTATCTCTAAGGCTGAGCCCAGCCACCCCACGAAGGAAACTCATTTCGGCCGCTTGTATCTACAACCTCATTCTTTCAGTCACTACCCAGAGCTCATGACCATAGGTGAGGGTTGGGATGTAGATGGACCAGTAAATCGAAAGCTTTATTAGAACCCTAGATATTGGACAAATTTAAATTTAGACTTGATGGTTACACTAAAGGAAAAATCAATCAATCAAATGCCCCCATTAGAGATACTGCAAAAAGAACCAGCGAGCTTTCACTTACTAGCAATTCAGAAGTAGAAATGATGGATCCAAGAAACGTTTCACCACAGTTTTATAAGTTACTGGCATGTGATTATCTATATATGCCAACAAGATTACAAAACACTCACCAGCCTTGGGGCTACAGACTAGCCAGACTAGACACCGTGCTGTACCTTTTACTGTTACATCTCGGTGTTTTAATTTTGTGTTGTCTACTGTAATAATTCGTTTTCTTAAACGTTTATTTTTTACATCATTAACTCTGCATCTGATCACCAGTCTGTACCCTGATGGAAAGTGTGGTGGTATAGTCTTTGAGAATCACACGTTGGTGGTGACAAACCTCACCTTGCACCAACTCAGCCACACCTCTGTGCCTGTGAACATTTTAACCGAGTGAAGTGTCACCTTCAGCGGGGGTCTTCCTTTATATTTCTTTTTTTCTTTTAATTGTTAAAGGAAGTCTTCACCACAGACACTTTTGCACAAAGTCTTCTGTGAAGTCTGAAGTCTAGTCTGGTCACATATTTGCAGGCGAGACATCTTTCGACACACAAGTCTTTGCCAGGAAGACGTCATTCTGCATCTACTGACATGTTACACAGAAACTTACATAAAATCAAGTAGTGGCAGCCTGGGTACACTGAACTCACCATGGGAACTGGCATTATATCAGGGACATATATGGCAATATTTACTGTGTTACATATCTCAGGAGGTTACAGCATAACATACATGAAACAAAACATTAATTACAAGTTACATGAATAAATAAATAAGCATTAATAAGTCCAATGTGCACATTATTTGTTTCCAAAGTGAGCTTCTTGCAAAATCAAACCTTCTACAACAATGAGAAAACATTCTCCTGAGCCTGAACACAAAGTCTTGCTTCTTTCCACTGGTTATGAAAAACATTTTTGAAATCCTTCTCATTATATGCAGGGCTTTACAGAGTACATTAGCGAATCTTTTTTACAGCTTGCTGTTCAGAAAGCAGCTTAAGTCAAGGTTAAAGTCATGAAGATGATCAAGCTGTTGCTATACTGGCACCTTGGCTTAACAGTCTTCCTGTTAGCATTACATCCCTGCCTCAGCTTTTAAATCATGCCTGAAAACATATTTTTATTATTCCCCTTCTCCTGTCTTTTGCTGTTGATTTTATACATGTGTTAATGGTATTTCAGTTCGGTCAGACAACAGCAGAACATAGTAAGAGTTTGGTGTCTAGACTCCGACCTCATCACTCCCTGCAGATATGTTTACATGAGAAACTTGGGAGTGATGATTAAATGTGCAGGTGGATGCTGGGGTGGAGGTCGAGAGCGAGCAGCAGTAGTGATGCAGGGCAGCAGTGGCATAGACAATGCAAAGGGAGAGCTGGGAAGATTTTGCAGCTCAAAATGGATCGCCAAATTGGGAGGGTGTGACACATGAGTGTCGCTCCCTTTGTACTGAAAAAACACCCTCTGCCTGATGCTTTCAAGGTGCTACAGAAATTAAATAATTATTGTCATTAGCACAATTTTTCACCGATGTCCCCACAGTCTTTTAATGTTGATGCCAGAGTCACTCTGAGCCGTGTGTGACTGGAGGATGAAACTTCTGTTTGTAACTTGAGGTATTTTCTGTACTATTTTCACATGAAAATCCTGTTGTCCCTTTTCAAATCATCAGAAAATAACCTTATTAGCAGTAAAACAAAACTAAAACAAAACAAAAAGGTTCGGTCGCGTCTTGATAAGGCATTTAACCTTTAAATCTTTGCCCACTTTGACTGTGGTTTGTTGCTTCTCATTGTGGTTAGTTCAGAGAAGCAGAGAGGAAATGTGCATTCTCTATGCAGGTGCATTACCAAGAAAATAAGCCACTTGTATGTGAACACGGGTGTTACACAGGTCAAGAGCTTTCACCCACAATGTTCAGTGAAATTGATAATTACGTGTCCCAGATGAGAAACTGCTGGTCAGCTCCAGCAGAGAAAATCTGAGTGCCGTCGGGGTTCAAGGCCAAGTGCAGGACTCGATTAGAATGACCTGAAAATGAAACAACATGATTAAATGTTGATGTTAAATAACTTCTACCCCTTATTAAACAGAGGTGAGTCAATGGTTAATTTCACCACTATGATAGAGTAACAAAGAAGTACTAACTTTGACAAAGATTTCACATCGAGACGTCAAAAACACCGGACCATGATGCTCTCTGTCTAGTTCCACTTACATATTATAATGAGCGCGTCTCATCAAAATACAAAGTTTTGGCAACCTGCCCATTTCAGTGCACTTACTCAACAGAAATCAGGAAGAAATACAAAAAATAGGACATTACAAATCAAAGTTCTCCTAGCAACCACAACCGCCTAACAGATACTCACTGTCAGAACCACAGAACATATCTTCCCGATCAGAAAGCAGCCGAGATGGACACAAGATCAGACTGACACAACTGCAATCTTTGAATCTTTAAATAAATAACACCGTTACTGAACATTTTTCAACTCATTCACATATTTGAAGTGATCTTTGTAGAATTTTTAAAGGCTGTTTCGCACATGTACGTCTGTCTTTGCCCCCAACAATTCGCAATACCTCAGGAAACTGTGACACACCAAACGTAGTGATGTGTTCAATTCATAGTTTCACATTCACTAGAAGCCCAGGACATGAATGAGTCAGCACAAAATGTGTATTAAATGTCTCAGCAAGGATCCAACTCTCACACTGATGCTGCTGTATTGCTCAGCATATAATCATGCAGTTAATTTATTCCTATGTGCTGAGGGCTGTAGTTGTACATCATATTTTAGCTCCTCTCACCTGTGAGCTGGCAGATGGGGCTGAGGGAGGGTAAGTCCCAGGACCAGCAGTTGACTTGGTGATGAGGAAGGCCGTGACCTGTGACCAGATATCTCTTCCTCTCAGTCCATCTCAGAGAACAGATCTGCAATAGGAGTCATTACGAATAGTCTGCTTGATTTTTATACACAGTAGAAATATCTCTGCCAAACTTTGAGCCTTAAGCACCTGTGAGTGTGTGTTGGCAGAGGTCACACAAGTCCCCAAATCTGAGTCCCAGATTCTCAGTTCTCCATCTTTCCATCCACCTCCTGTGGCGATTATCTTTCTCTGCCATGGACACCATCCCATTGCCTAAAAACACAAACACAATGGACACAAAAGCACACAATGGTCAGCGGATTGTGTGGTGGTTTAAGCAGACCGCCCAGTGAATAGCTGCGGGATCAGCTAACAGTATTATTAAAACCTCTGTAGAATAACAACAGCTAGGCTAAATCTTTCACTATACCAACCAGTGAAGTGACGCTCATGTTTGCACAAGCTACGACTAGTCATCATCAAGCCATACACCAGAACATACAATTGTTTGCAACATATGACTAAGGGGGCCCTACTCAATGGTTGATGAGGTGGGTGTACTGCTACGTAGATAGGTAGGTTACCGATGAGGAAGTAGGCATACTCTCCTTTATATTACAATGGCTTTATAGCTGATCGGTGGGTTTACTGTAACTGGATAGAAAAACAATTGGGTATACCCTGTAAACCTGAGTATACCCTCCACTACACCACTGGCCCTACTGCGTGGACTTAGCATGTTCTTCCTGTTGGGTTCTCTGGCTTTCTCCCACAGGACAAACACATGCAGGTTAGGTGCTGACACACCAGGCCAACGTCCGTGAGCGTCTGTCACCCTAGTTTTTGCGGTGTGTCCCGCACCGTTGGCACTAGTCGGACCCCTGTCGGCGGCTTTTCGGCCGATTGAGCATGTTGAATTGGCGGCGGAGCTTGTCGGTGAGAGAAATCACTCTGATTGGCTGTTCAGGTTTTATTTCCTCGCCCCTGTAGCGAGTGGATCTGCCTGTAGTGAAACCGGGGCTAACCGGTGCTTCCTCCTCAGGCTCCGCTTCACTCTGCTGCCCTTAATTGGTGACGCTAGGTGCGAATGTCAGCATGAAAGGTTGTCTGTCTGTCAGTCCTGTGATAGTCTGGCAACCTGTCCAGGGTGTACCTCAGCTAGGATCGGCTCCAGCCCACCCCCAACCCTGAATAGGATAAGCTGCTACAGAAAATAGATGGATGGATGTATTAAGCTATGGACGTAGCCCCTGTGACGTCACCCATTGGTTTGTGAACTCCTGTTTTAAAGCCTTGAGTCTGACATTTTGACCGTGGCCATCTTGGATTTTTGGAGACAGAAGTTACCTGAAGATACCATATTTGAATGGATTTAGTAGCTGAGTTATATAAATGATTACTTCATGAATTACTTCATGATTTCATGGAGTATACACTATACACTGACCTTAACAGCACTGGGCTGTTTCATGACAGTGATTGGCTGACGTGACCTTGTGAGCCCTGCGATGTCACTATCCCATACACAGAGGAGGCCTTCTGTGGAGCCACTGGCGAGCCAGTTGTCTCCTGGTGACCACTGAAGGCTGCAGATTGCCTCCTTCTGGACAGCTGTGCCCACCAGAGCTGTTTGAGCCCGAGGGTCAAGGTGGTGGATAAGTCCGAGAACAGAGCCACTGTAAGATGGTGGAAATTATCATTACCCTCAATGAGTACTATACACTTCATATTCATACTAATGTGGTGCTGTTTTTACCCCAGCTATATTTCCTTTTGCTAAAGCATTAAACCAGTATAGATCTGTAGATGTTATTCCTGCTTTCACGAAGTTTACAGAGTTAAGTATGATATTGAAATTCTTTATAACTCTCATTTTGTGTTATGGGAACACAAACCTGCTGAGTAACTGCTGCTTCCAGGAAAGCGCTCCGACCACAGACATGTGTGGCGGCAGACATCTCATATTCTGGTGTTCAACATCCCACAGCTACAAAGTCAAAAAGAGAGACACACCACAAACAGTCATCCTGCTGATTCAACTAGGTGTTACCCTTCCCCTCACACAGGCCCCCCATACCACAGCCTGTATGAATCAGTTTCCACCCTCTTTGTTCTCATTTACTTTAAGCTGCAGAGCATTTACCTGTATCTCCCCTCGCCTGGTCCCAACGCAGAGAGTTCTGCCGTCTCTGCTCCAGCTCAGACACGAGATGGACTGAGTCTGATGGTGTGCTCGTGCGGGTTGTGGACTCGAGTGCAAATATCCCACCAAAGCACCAGTTTCTGAATTCCAGAGGTAAACAGAAGAGCCCAGTGCTAATGCAACCATACCATTACAACTGCAGTCGAGAAGGTTAGTGTCTGAATGGGGAGAGATGGAAGAGAGAGAGAGAGAGAGAAGGGCTACAGAGGCAAAGCTGAGCCAAGTACTGACAACACAATGAGACTTTACAGAATAATAGAAGCATGCTCTGCCACATATGATGTGTTTATTAATCAAAACAACAGTCTGAGATGTTTGTTTTCTTTCAACAGCGGGGTCATGTGACCTTATGAAGTCAGAAAAAAATAGTGGGACCTTCTGGATGATTCCTTAAAGCTTAGTACAGAAGACACCAACACACACCCCACCACCATCAGTTAATTTTTCCCAAAAACTAAAGGTAAAGTCTCTTAATTTTTTTCCTTTTCTTTTTTCAGTGCATATATATATAATGTTTATTCAGGTAATGGTTTCATTATATTTTTATTTCCCAACATGCAGCTCTAAATCCTGTTTCAAAGCCTTCTTCACAGTGACACTAATACATTTCTGCTTGTGGCTTTATTTTTTTATTGTTTAATCGGCCTAAGAGTAGTCAAATTTGTCAGTCAAAGTCAGTTAAAAAAATATTGAAATAAGCTCATAAAATATCCATCCAATATAAAGTTTTAGAATTTAAACTTTCCCTTAAGTGCCTAAACCCACAAATTCATAAAAAAATACAGAGGACTTGTAATCAAGCAATTTCCTCCTGTTTAAAAAGTGTGTGCTAGAAACAGTGTCCAGCTGTTTTAGAACATTTTCAAGTATTTTAGTAACATGAAAACTCTGGGCTTCAGGCTGAGTTTCACAGAAAGGATGGATAGAGCGAAAAGTATTGAGAGTCAGTCTTGGTTGAGATTTGTTGACCAAAAGAAAAAAATGCAAAAAAACCAACAATAAGAAACCCAGAATAACACCAGCCTTGCCCGTTCAAACACAGACGCAGAAAAAGAACATAGACTCAGTTTTCTTTTGCAGGATTTTTATCTTCTCTTACAGTAGTCGTCCAGCAGCGACGGTACTGCCAGCTTCACCACTGACTTTCCCTGCAGACTCACAGAAGCTTCTTCCAGAACAGCAAACGGCTGCAAAGCATGTCTTCTCTCATCAGAGCCTGCAATGGAAAAATATTACATAAAACACAGTTACACAAAACATGAAAACAAAACATAAAGCACTGTAAGAATGTAGTAAAGGAGAAACATTCATGCTGTACCAGCCTGCTGACCATTTCCAGGTTCCTGAGCTGCAGCTCTCCACACCCACCCCTGCAATAAAAATGTTCTCTTAAGATTTAGTCTTTATATGATGTTTATATTCATTTTTCAAACACATCTTTTTCTGACAGAGTCATGCCATGTTTCATGTACAGTATTTTGCTGGTGTTATCTCTATTCTAGCTGAACTGTACATGTGGGTATAACTGGGTTATGTTTTGTACCTGGTCTTGTTGAACACTTTTCAACATTATCACTGATATGATCATGTAATAAAGACAGCCTGCACCAGGAAGTGTAAAACCTACTATAAAACCTATAATGTTGATTTGTCTATGTACTATGTTGTATGCTTTATTTCTATGGCTGCAGTATGGGTGCAGGGCCCAAGATGAATTTACCTCTCTGTAGGGCAACAAAGCTAATCTTGATCTTGATACTGAAACGTCTTTTGTTTTAGTGCAGAAAAACAAAACAAAACAAACAAAAAAAAAAAAATCAGTGGCACAGATACAAGTTCCTTAAACAAACCTGTTCTGGGGCATTTCCTGAGGCAGTGAAGGTATGTGGTGTGTTTGGTGGTGTGATGGCCTCACAGCGGGACGCTCCTCCCACCAACACTAGAAGAAGAGATGATATCTCAGAAAACATGACATCACAAAACAGTGCTGTGATGAATCCACACAGTGAGACAGCTGCACATAATGCTGACGATCACAAAGAGTGGATGCATGAGGGTTTGTAGCCCTGATATTACCTACAGTTGTTCTGTAATGGAGTATATGTAGTAATTAAATGTATTCTAACAACAAAACAAAATTAAATCTGACATTTTGACTGATAACAGATTCAATGTTGGCACCATTTTAGGAGATTAAACAGATTCTGCTGGTGATTTATCAGCCTGTTTTCATTTATTCTAATAAAAACTGATATTGTTTTAACAATCAGCCATGAAATACGGTGTCATACTGTAAGACCAACATATTGAGGCATGGTATTTACAGCTGCTTGCTCAGCTGTGACATGCAACACTGACCCCTTGGGTGTAACATCTGAAGCATGCTGTCAATATATTGACATGTAAATTACACAAGCATTTTGTAGCATTATTGCAGTGTTTTATATCAATCATAAAAACAATGAAGCCTATACCCTGTAAAAAGCCATTTTCATCCTCTAACATAGCCTATAGGTGGAACTTAAGGCAGTCGGTTTATTGAGGCCTACAGTAGGATTGTGGCAAAGACCAAAACATTTTTTAAATTAAGTGATTAAAACTTTAAAATCATGTTTGCGTGCAGGCCTGTATTTCTCAAAAATAGCAAAGTCATTTAAAGAAAGTTTGGGCAATTCCCCTCCAATAACTGTCTTCGATGGTGTGTGTGGTGGGTGTTTGATGAATATCACAGACAGGCAGGTCTTCATTCTTCAATGAGGTGGTGTGATGTTTTAAATACCTTGACTGTGTCCATTCAGGACTTTCTGTGCTGTCTCATGGTGTCTCGGTGGAGAATCCAGCTCCAGCCTCTGACAGACTGTATCAAACTCAAAGCTGGGCTCATGCTGCCGCCCAGTGGCCACAGGTGTACTGGCTGCAGGACCATCTCTATCACTGCTGCTCCGCCGGATGATCCTCCTCCTGAACCGCTTGTAGGAGGCGTAGTGGGCGTTGTTTTGTGCCTGAGGAGACAGAAAGCAAAAAAGAAAATTTTTTGTCATTCTGAATATATACTACTTTTTCTTTATTTTCATTTATTCATTTATTTATCTGTTAATATTAGGCTGGTGTGGACAGTTTGAGTGCACATTGGCTGCTGTTAATGTACCTATGATGCCTGATCTTCTCCCAACTTTACCCCCCACCCCACGGGCCCCCAATCCAACCACACTGCCTGCACTGTCTATATTTATGCCCCTGATGGCCTTTAATGCTGATCAAACATACTTTCTCACTCCATATTTCAAAAACACAACAGCAAACATGTTCAACATTTATCTTAGAAATTATACTCAAGGTAAAAAGGGTTTAACATCATCCAGAAAATACTACGTGTTCATCTGAATTACTCCTCTGTGCTCTGAAGCATTGGCGCTTGAAGACATAGAAGGCTACACAACAGGGAGGAGCTGCAGGGCTCAGGCTTTGAAACATGAAATCTTCATACAAACACAACAATGTCAGAGCCAGGATGAATCTTTAAATTTTAAAGACTTAAAAAACTTTTAAAAATATTTTTGTTGTTGTTAAAACGGGCTCAATGTACTGTTTAGTTTCACTTCAGTACTATAAATAAAAGTTTAAATGGCTAAATTTGGATTTATAAATAATTTCTTTCTTTAAATTCTTTGAGTTTTTATTAATGTAACTGTAGATACCAAAGTGCAGATTTTCCCAGTAAACAGGCCAAGGCTCTCGCAATGCAAACTCCAAATCAGGGATGTCAAACATACAGCCCAGGGGCCAGAACTGGCCCGCCAAAGGGTCCAATCTGGCCCACGAGATGACCTGAGGAGAGTTTTCAGGAACAGTGTGAACGGTGAGTAGATACTTAATGTGAAATGACCACAATACAGCTCTCTGAAATAACAATGAATACACTACTGTGGTCATATCTATAGATATTGAACACTGTGCAAAAACATGTCAACCAGCAGCTTCAGTACAAAAGTATCTGTATCAGACTTCTATCTTAAAACAGTATGGGTGGAATACTGCTGTTGAGGCACTGACAAGACTTCAGATTGTAAATGGTTTGTAAGGCAGGGGATGATTTAACGTGCTTCTTCAATAGTTTCAGCTTTAATGGAAAAGTATGAAAAAAGTCACATGTAATGACAGTGAGTGGTAGACTGAGTGAATGTGAAAAAAATGAGACATACTGTTGAATTTGCACATAATGTTTCTGGGGATATTGCAGGCTGTTCATCATTTGTTTTGTAAATGGATGGACGTTTTCAGAATGAACTTCTTCACACTCAAAAGGGGTATTACGCAGTGGTTTTACTGGTCCAAACTGGGCTGCATGTGGCCCCTGAACTGAAATGAGTTTGACACCCCTGCTCTAAATGTTCTCCTTGTCTCAAAGGAAGTAGCACCAGGCTTCCTGTCATAATGTTCCCTAACTTTACTGAGCTGTTTTCCACTGATCCGCCCAGAAACTTCCTCCAGGAGCCCCTGCTCCGTCCTCAGCTCCTTCTTCCCCCTCCAAGATGGAGGCCTTAGGGGGCTACCCTACCAAGTCCTCCAACCCTAAAGCGAAGAAGTTAGGGGTGCTGCTGAGCATGACAGTGGGTGTCGGGTGTTTGTTCCTCCTGCAGACTCAGCTGCTGAAGCCCAGAAAGCCAACAGATTTTTATTCTTTCGAGGCGAAAGACGCGAAGGGGAGGACGGTGTCTCTGGAGAAGTACCGAGGAAAAGTAAGTCCACATCATCACCAGTCCTGTCAGCATGAGGAGAAATCTGTGCAAACTCTGTCCAGCTTATCCACAGTCAGCTGACTTTGTGTTTTAATGCATGAGACGTTTTTATTGTAGTATTTTAGAAGTAATCACACCCTGTGTTTCCCTCTCCTGTGCAGGCGTCTTTGGTTGTAAACGTGGCGAGTCACAGCGAGCAGACGGAGGCGAACTACTTGTCTCTGCAGGAGCTGCACCGGGAGCTGGGCACCTCTCACTTCAACGTCCTGGCCTTCCCCTGCGGTCAGTTCGGGGACACGGAGACAGGGACCAGCCGGGACATCGAGGCTTTCGCCAAGTCTACCTATGGCGTCACCTTCCCCTTCTTCAGCAGAATCAAAATAATGGGCTCAGAGGCTGACCCTGCCTTCAAGTTCCTCACAGGTCAGCACCTAACCACCCCTGTCTGATGTGCACCATGGCGCACTAAGAGCACAAAAACATGCAGGGAAAGTACCCCAGCCCTGTGATCAGTCTGTATTTGCATTACTTTTGTGATAAAATTATGGCTGAGTGATTTATGGCTTTCTGACAGGAAGTACACTCTGGACCTAACATTCACTGCACCACACTTTTCTACAGGGCCGCAGCTAAAGATCAATTTTAAGATCAAGTAATCCGTCAAATTTCAAATCAGTTCACTATCTAATCTTTATTAGAGGCCAATCTCTGCATATAAAGCACAGATGCCAAGTTTTCTTTTCTTACTTAGCCTATATTATTCAGTTTATAATGAAAAAGTCTTTGCATACAAAATATATAATTATGCTTCCTCAGAAGCAAAATGAAAAGGTTCAACTTATATTTATAGACATGCATCTGGAAGAACATTTGGAGAACATAGTCTGTGAACTCCTAATGTAATTGAAATGGAAAATCTGGTATTTATTAATGCCTGCCTTGGTTTAAATTTGGGTTTATACCTGTTAGTGATTCTGAAGTACCTACTTATGGTGTGACATCTTAATGTTGCACCTTACAGCTCTGCAGAAATAATCAATTTTTGATAATAGTGGTAAAGTGACTTCAGAAATGTAAAGTTTAAGAGTTTTCTATCCTTCTGTCTGAACTGTGGTCTTATTAAGTGTGAATGTTAGTGTCATGACACTAGGGTTGCAACAGTATGAGATTTTCAGGGTATGATAACCATCTCAGAAAATATCAAGGTTTTATTGTATCATGGAATATGATACAATAAAGTTATATAATTAACATTATCAGTTACAATGACCGTTAAAGGAATAAAAAGAGATGTTTTTTGGTTGAACAAATGCTTTATTATCACTGAAACTTGAAAACATTTTTTAAAGATGGAAGTAAAATGTGTGACAGGTTGTTGAGGAGGAATGGAGCATGCGCAGGTAAGATTCTCTGCCCAGTTCCACTTTTTTCAATGCCATATAAGCAAATGTACACAGTCTGTTAACCATCAATTTCCATACCACTATGAACCGTGAAACCAGCATACTGCTGCAACCCTAGATGATACATAACATCATTTGTCAGACAGTTTATATTGTAGTCAATATTTTTGCATCAATGTGATGAGCTATCTTGATTTTCCGCTGTGTTAAATTTTCAGGAACACCTGGTCATGTCATCAAAATACTTTCCCAGTACTAGTTAAAAGTACTATATCTTGACAGACTGTAAATTGATATATATATATTACCTATGTCAATCACTGTCATTAAAGAAATCCAAAAGGGCAATTATTTATTATGCAGAGTTACAAGTCATAACTAAACAATGACATCACCTGCTATGAGGTTCAGGTTTGATTTTATATGATATTTTTGCAACCGCCTAAAAATGCAACTGAGTCAGTTAGACAACACCACGAGATAAGTCTGGCTATACGACACTAGGCAGACGTAAGAATGGAAAAATAATCGTTATTTACAAGTTGATTCATAAGAAGCTCTGGACGTGAGGACAAGCAGAGCATTGTCAGTGAATTCAGGTTGTAGGATGCTCCATCAATGCTACGTTTTGCAACTTTTATTAAAACGTTTTTTGTCATAGTTGCTGAAACTGTCATTATATTGTGAAAGCAGTACATGAGACAGAAAGGCTGTGTCCCTTCTCCTCCTGCTGCGTCTAATGCCGTTTGTTAGAATTCACTATGGCAAACAGAAAACAACCAATTGGAGTCTTTGAAGCAGCTGTCAACTGTGTCAATCACTGTTCACGTACAGTCAAACTCTTTAGGCAGGGCTAATCAAATATATATCAAGATATTTTAGTGTACTGTTTAGCTGTAAAAGGGGAAACTTTATGACTTGGCTGCCATGCTGGAAATGGTCGATCAAAGTACTACCGGCAATGGCTGGGCCACCTTTCATTTTTTTCAGCTCAACAGTACACTTAAGTGTTTCTGAAAATATTTGAGAGAAATAAACAATGCAGTAACATGATAGCTGTGTTAATAAAGACCCCTCAGCTTTGATTGGTTGTTAATGTTCATGTGCAGTAAAGCCGTTAGAAATGCTAGAAGGCAAAAGAGTAGGCTGTATGACAGTGTCAACAAATATAGCATCATATTTCTTTTAATAAAAGTTACCAACTTAGCTTTAATGAGTGCATGCTAATATGTTGTGTTTCAGATTCTGTGCAGAAGATTCCCAAGTGGAACTTCTGGAAGTTTCTGGTGAACCCAGAGGGGAAAGTGGTGCGGTTCTGGCGAGCAGACGAGCCCATGCAGAGCGTTCGACAAGAGGTCACAGCGTTGGTGCGAGAAATCATCCTGAAGAAACGGGTGGAGCTATGATGGAGATGGATGCTGGACACATCTGTGTGTGGTGTGTCGGTTTTTCCTGTGCTTTGACAGCAAGGAATGACTGAACTCTGAGCTGCTGCAGTGAGTGTGGTTGGGTGACGTCTCCAGAAACAAGCAGGATGAGAAGATTCACTTTTAGTCATTCAAGACGAGTCAGAGTGTGTGTGTTTGTCTGTCTGTGTGTGTGTGGGGACCATCCTGTGGTTAACAGCAACAATCATAATGAACATTCCTGATAATGACCACTGCTGCAGCTCAAGGATTGTTTAGCCATTGCAGTGTTGGATTTTTACAGATGTACAGTTTGGCTTAGTCTGTATCTTGTACCATCTCGTTCTGATGTTTTCATTAAATCGATTTCTTTTGGTGAAGCATTTTTAGCCCATTTTGACTAATTTGAGCCCTTCAAATTGTGAAACATCCATTCAACAATAAAATAATTTCATAATAATTTGATTTAGCGAATGAGTTCAGGATCTTTTGTCCCAATCATGTTTTTAAAATCAAGAATAATAGAGTTGTTTCAATACCGATACCAGAATCGGAAAGGCCTCCGACACTGCTTAAAAGGCTGGATCGGGTACTGGTGAGTACTAAGCACCGATCCAATACCACGTAATTTATTCATAAATTTTAAAGTAGTTTCACACCCAGATAAAATGACAGTTTTCCCAGATATCAGTTCTTCCTTACAGCTTTAAAACATACACAGTAAGTTGCACTGTGTCGCAACTGGCAACTATTGTTTAGAGTGGTGTAGAAGAACTGACCCTTGGCTAAATCCTGCCCCTGGATGCAGACTGACCAATCATAATGTAGCATCGGACCGGCTCAGACCAGGGTCTGACAACAACACAGCTGTGCTCCATTGACTCTAATGCAATAGTTTCAGATTTTCTTCATTTTCAGGCTGGTTTTGTGGATTTGGAGCTAAATGTTGTGCCTGGGTCACGTCGTGTATTAATGATACTCGTTACCTGGAGAGGTTGGAAAAAGATACACGTTTCTTCCCTGTTCCAAAACCAAAATCAAACCCTGAAAAGTGTAGGGTTAGCTAGCTAGCTACTGAAGATATAGCCTACTGAATGTATACACATGCTGCTTTTGCTTTTTAATAATTATAACAGTGAAACAAAGACCGACCCTGCTGTACAGGAACCAGTGAAGGGAAGCAGGGAAACTTTGCTGAAATTCAACCAGCTGTGTCATCACATTGTGAGCAGATGAACGTTGTTTGACTTCCCCCGGAGATCCCAGACGGTCCGACGGCAGAGGTCCAACTGCAGGTGGTGGCACTGGGGCGAAGCCAAACAGCGTTCATCTGCACACACTGTGATGCCACACAGCTGGTTCAATATTAGCTAAGTTTCTCTTTATATTCATTGTTTTTTGTTTTGATCAGCAGTGATGTGGTGGTTCACTTTTACACTGTGATCTGTAGCCTATAGTTCGGCTTTAGCTTCTAACTATCTTTGTCTTTTTAAGCTGTTGTTGCTGCTGAGTCAGTTTGACATCCTGGATATATCCTTCAATCACAGACTGGAGACCCCTCTGTCTGCTTCTCTCTGGAATCACTGTTTCATTTCTCCAAAAACAAAGATTTCTGGAAAGTCCCACCAGTAAAAAGGCAATATGTACAGAATGCAAGCTAGCTCCAGTTAAAATTGTATCTTTTTGAACACAGTGGTATCGGATCAGTACTCGATATTGGCCAATACGAAAGTTCAGGTATTGGAAACGGTATCAGGAGGGAAAAAATAGTACTGGAACATCTCTGAGGCAAAATGTTGATAACTAATTTGAGTCTGTATTTGACATGAAGTTAATTTGTTAACTTAGGTTCAGGAGCAGGGCCACACCTCAACCACACCTCTGATTACCTGCCAAGCCTACTTATACCTGGTCAACCCATCCTGCTGTTTCTCTCCCATTCCCTTCCCTTCATCGATCATCCTCCACACCTTAACCCAACCCCATCCTTTCCTCTGCTTATCCCTACCCACATTCCTTCATCCTCTCTTCCCTTCTCCCCTTCTCCCCTCATCTCTTCTTATCCAATCTGGTGCATACCTCTCCCATGTCTCATTCTAGGTACTGTCTGGGGGCCTGTAATCAGCTCAGGTGGAAAAACGCCAGAGACAGAACCCCCCACACTGAGTCTCCCTCTGCCTGATCTGCAGTACATTCTCCCAGACCAGCCTAACCAAAGACATCCCTCTTCCATCTTCACCCCGCACTTACATCCATTCATACAACTAAACCTTTAAACAACAAAGTGTATAGAATGCTGATGCCAAGATGCAAGTAGTGCAACACAAATGCATTTTGGTGCTAATATTCTATTTTTGATTTTGATATTTGACAGTTAACAACATTAATTTCAACGTCTTTGCTCGCCTCTCAGTCTGAATATTTTGAAAATGGATGAATGATTGCAAAAAAACAGGAGTTCTGAAACCCAACGTGCTGTTTCTGGCTTACTGGCGTGGACTTGAATGGACAGTTGGAGGGCAGCAGCAGGTAAGCTGGCACACACAGAATCCACCAGCTAACAAGACACTGCCTACCAGCCACCCACAATAAGAGAGCTGAAAAACAACCTGTAACACTGGGAGATATTCTACATTTTTCAGCCTCTACTTCAGAATGAAGTTTGTCCTCTCCTGTGCAAAGTTTTTAAATATCTCAGAATCCTGTAGTATCTTCTGATCCACCAACATCTTCTAAATGTGCATGAGTCTGAGCATCCCGGGAATAAATGTATAGTCAAATGTGGCTGTTAAGGTAGCAGAGCAGTGTGAGCTGGCAACAGAACCATCAGCTAACATTACACTGCCTCCCAACCAGCCACAACTCATCGTCATCGTAAATGCAAATGAATGGATTTGACTGTTAAATTGGTGTTGAGCTGAATATTTTTCATTGTGCTGAATGTAGAACTTAATTTTTTGTCATTCATTCCTCTCCCGACTTTATTCAACTGCTGACTTTTTATTTAACATGTGAATCAAGTTACGTGGCTGGAGTCAGCGGGCTGTCTGAGGTCAGTGGGTAGCAGCAGTGAGGAGTGCAGCTGACAGCTGTAAATCAGATAGCACAGCCAGCAGCAGGACACTGCCACACTGTCACCACCAGCTCAGAGGATGCAGCCAGTACAGTTAGGTACAGATGGTTTTAATGCAGGTTTTCCCTTTATTTCCCCTCTTACCTTGAAGGGGCAGCATCTTCTCTTTCCTACAAAGTCTCTCAGCATTCTCCTCATATTGTCCTGGTGATGAAAACAAACAGACTTTAGTCAAGGTGATGCTCATAATCAATTAAAACAACTTCCTTATAGACTGGAATCTCTATTTTCAAATGATTATTCAGAAAGTTGGGGATTGTTGTATTAATGTTATGATAAATCACAATAAATAGCTGTATTTTGATCAAAATCTAACTGTAAAATAAATTACATTCAGCCACTTATTGCAGTAGGTGTTGTATCAAAGAGACACAGCCATGTGTTTAGAGTTTGGTTGCCTGGAAGCAGCAGCAACAGGTCATATGTGATAAGGAAACACCCAACACGCTACTTTCAATATTATTATATATGAATTACTCACCTAGTCATTTGAATCACCACCTGTTAGTTTCATGTTCAGTTTCCATCACTTCTCTTCCCTCTCCACCGATCTGAGGACCCGCTCATGCCCGGTGCACCTGTTGTCTGTCTCCCCTGGCCGGGCTCCGCTCCTAAATACTGTCCCCCGGCGGACGGTGGAGCGGGAAGCACCGTCCTCTGCTCTGCGATTGGCCGGTAGGTCTGAGGGTTTTTTTTAAATTAAGTGTTTTTGTTGAGGGATTCCCTGTTTCCCTCCGCGTCCCGGTTTCTACTGGAAACAAATAACGCATTAAAAAAAAGAGCAACGCGGTAATGTTGTAAAGGTGGAGGCGGCAACATGTTATCAGTTAATGACCCTGACAAGGACAGACTTTTATTTCTTTAGTGTCCAAACACAATCCATCAGTTAACTGTCAGACTCAGCCTCGTTTGGCTAAGGAAAATACTATTTTAATTAAGATTAAGATGATGATTAGACAGCCATATTGTTAATAGAAAAGACGAAGAGGGTATGTGGCCATTTAAAGCAAGGAATCGTGTTAAAACATTTAAAATAAATTAAGAATCAATATACGCTAACGGTGAATCCTATTATTGTTTTTTTTTTGTCAGATTATTGCCTACATGATGTAAACATATAAATAAAGAACATAAATATAGCCCTTCTAGCAGTTACAGGTTCCAGTTTATCCAAAAATAGGTCGTAATTTTAATTTTATTTTAATTGGTAATTAGAATATTTAAATCAACAACTAAACTGTGGGAAAAACAATCTAATAACATGAAAGATTTTTGAGTGTATGATTTTTTTTTTAAAATATATTTTATTTATTGAGAATAATATTTTAATAAACAACTACATTGAAATTAACATTGAAATAAAATGGAAGATTATAGGTTAAAGCAAAAATAGTTTTATTTGTAAAGTAAATATTTTTATTAAACAACTAAACTGAAGCAAAAAATCATGAAAGATTTTGGAGTTTATGCAAAATATATAGGCTATTTTAAATATTTTATTCATTAAGTATTATATTTTAAAAAACAACTACACTGAAATTAAAATTTAGATAAATTGAAAGATTCAATGGTTCATGCAAAATATTTTATTTATTAAGTAAAATATTTTGATAACAAACTACACTGAAACAAATAATAATACTAATAATGATAATGTGAAAGATTTTGGAGTGTGTGCAAAATATATATTTTAATATTTTATTTATTAAGTATAACATTTTAATAAACAACGACATTGAAATTAAGATTTAAATAAATTGAAAGATTCTATGGTTTATGCAAAATATTTTATTTTATTTGTTAAGTAAATATTTAATAAACAACCAAACTGAAACAAACAAACAAACAAAATATACCATGAAAGATTTTGGATTCCATGCAAAATATATATTTTTTAATGTTTTATTTATTTTTATTACGTGTAATATTTTATTAAACAACTACATCGAAATTAAGAAATAACATATAAGATTCTGTGGTTTATGCAAAATATGTTATTTGTTAAGTAAAATATTTTAATAAACAACTAAACTGAAATAAAATAATGACAATTTCATTGTGTACTATTTTGACGATAAAACATTAAATAATATTAATAAAAAAAAATAAAAAATAAATATTTTTGGGATAAACTTGTAACTGCTCTAACAGTGTAGGAATATAGCCTTCATGTAACTTCTGTTTAACAGTCGCCTGGTTTTGCGGGAGGAGGCCGAGTGTCCGCGGGCCACACCGTTTTAATTATGAGCTGTTCTGGCGCTAAGAGGGCTGAACGGCGCGAGCTGCGCACGTTCTCGCCACCTGCCACTTCCATATGCGCTCACACCCCGAGCTCGAGCCTGGAAACTGTGCGACAGGTGCGTGCTCTCAATGACACGCAGCAGCAGACACATGCTGAGTGTGAGCAGCTCCATCAGAGCTCCCTCAGCATGCAGCCATGAGGCCCTGTATTCATATCATAGACTTCAGTTTCTCCACACTCATCAACAGATACCTATTATATCTTCTGACCTTTGAAAAACAATGTTTATATTCAATTTGTAATAATTAGTGATCAGTTGAATCCATTAATGAAGGTAAATGTAGGTGTTCTCCATCTCACATTCACAAAATAACACTCAAACCCCAACTTTGCGCACGAATTGCTTGCTTCACAATATGCGTAATTGCGCAGAAGGCTGACATTAAGTCCTCACTGTGTGTAAGTTATACTTACCCAGAGGCCTTGCACCACATCAGCATCCCTACTCTTCAGGAAAAAATGAATGATTTTTCTTTTTCCCGCGGGACTGTGTCTGGTTTGCAGCCTCCCTCCAGGTTTGGCTTTAGTCACCTTAGAAACTCATTGTGTGTGTATTTTCCTTTCCCCTCCCGCATTGTCCCCCGCAGTTTGGCGGTAGCTTAACCGGTCAAATGTGTCACAACCAGCTTAAACAAAGCTTCGCCCTCTGTGGCCGCTCTCCGCGGCGCTGCTGGTCACTGACAAACGGATTTGTTTGCAGTAAAAGTGGCTGAAGGCGCGTCTGGGTGTGAAGGTTTGTGCGGTTATTTTAAGGCTGACAAGGAGCGTCCTGACTGATTTACGCTGGCAGCAGGAAGTTAAAGTGTTAACTGATCATATCTGTGGAGCAAGTGGAGTCAGTGGAGTTACTCATGTAGACAACTATTACTTGTTCTTTACTTGAGTATTCCCATTTTCTGCTACTTTATCTTCTACGGAAATACTGCAGGCTACTTTTTACTCCATATATCCTGCTTTAATATCAGGTAGCACTTGCTTTGCAGATACAGATTAATGATACAAAACTATATACAAATAAAAACATGAAAGTAGTAGGTAACTTTTATATTTGACAAATTAAACGATACTTCCACCATCAATTGGTAGAAGGCAGGAAACCAATTGTTGCTCAAAATTTTCTTGAGGAAGGACCCCCAAACTACCTGTTTCCAGTGGCGGCCCTAGCACATTTGGTGACCAAGGTGAGCCTCCCCTGGCGGCCCCCACCATGAACACATAATGAGAGAGCTCACTCTGAAGTCAACCAAATCCAGCGCTTGGCCAGTGACTTGCAGTGTCTGAAACCAACAAATAAAGACATCCTTTAACGCGGCCAGTTGGCAATATAGTTTAACGGCACCTGATGGCGTCAGGGGGGAAATGCGGCGGTACAAGGTCAAAACAAACAAACACCGACTCTGCACGCTGTATCTGGACTAACGTCAATATGTGACGAGGTCGGAGTGAGAATGTGTTGCATGAGAACATTATAATTTACCTTCACCCAGTACAAATTTTTACTAAATAGAGCTTGAAAGCTTCACAATCACTACACCCTCCCTGAGCTGTTCATTGTGGCCACCGGCTGCTTGGAGGTAACAGTAACTAGCTCTCCTCCTGCTGATCTGACACGGACTTGTTGGTTTTCCATGTTCTTTCTCTCCTCATACACTCCTCTCAGTATAGAGGTAGTTGAGTGGGCACCAGAGGACTTTTGTTGTTGTGACATGATAATGATAGAGCATGTTTTGGGGTTCACGTGACATTGGATAACTTGCCTATCTCCCCCAGAGAGCACATAGCTCTGTAAGTTAATAGAGATAGATAGATAGATCTTAAAATGAAGCGCCCAGCCTGTGTTTATCAGACCTCTATCTCTTTATCAGGTCCTTATCTTTGTTTGTGTTGTTGTGTTGTGACAGCAGCAAGTGTCCCCAGCCCTCGATGCTGCAGTGCTGCCTTCACTGCTCTTAGGTAAACAGGCCCAGGTTCGGGCAGTTTAAACAGGTGTCTGACCTGAGGTTTGACATTGTCCTGTCGACCAGTCCGCCTCACGCAAGCCTACTTTTTACAGCTAAAGCCCTTAAGGTGATGTTGAATAAAGATTACATCACAGATACTGAAAGGTCAAGAGGTCACATCCTTTTAAGATAGGTTTATCTCGATTTCCTCCTTTGTTTCAATCCAAGTTTTAAAAAATATGATTTAGAAGTTTTGGGGAGAATGTGACTTTTTTCACTAAGCAACTGAGGTGTAACCTGCATGGTTTAGAAGAGCAGTAAGTCTTGCAATCTGGAAAGAAAACCAATTTCCAAACAGACGTATATAAACAAAGATGTTGACTGCAATGCATCATGACTCAGTTCACTTTTTCAGACCACACAGTCACAGAGACAAAAGGGAAGGAAGTACCTGTGTTAAAGGAGGTCACAGGGTCACATTTGTTTCACTGCTCAAAGAAAGAAAGTTCGCGTTGAAAACAGTTTCTTTCCACTTGTGTAAACATCACGAGTCTTCCTTCCATAATAAAAAAAAAGCTCTTAAAGTCATCCTTATCAAACACAATTTTTATTCCAAACTTTCTGACACAAAACATACTGTGAGGTGTGAAAATAAACATGGCATTACTTCATTGTTTGGCAATATATCATTACATTTTCAGGCATGTAAACAGAAACACAATGAACACAAAAGCTGTGGCAGTATCATTTCCTTTGTCAGACACCACCTCTGACTGATTAGCTTACAAGCTACCTGAGGAAGACATCATGTAATCATTTACAGCTCTCAATATAGATTATAAGTTAGGCATTAACAGTCAGTGCCCACCCACACTTCCTTCATATCAGTAATTAGCACTAATGGCTCCAATTTTACATGTGGTAACAGTGGTTTCAGCTGTGGTCGGGAACCCAGCGGAAGCGGTATCCTCCCTGCTGAGCCCTCGTGGTGAAGGCACGTCCATGAGGAAACACCTGAGTCCTTATGGTGCAGTGTTCTCTGATAGAAGTCCTGAAGGATGAGACACTCTCCTCAGGCTCGGCTCCATCTGCTGTCACACTGCTGTCTTTGGATATACAAGTCTGTAGGCCTGCGAATGCACCGTACATGCGTATAGTCTCTGATTCCTGCTGTAGTCTTGTTCCAGTTGCAGCGCTGTGCAGGACAGCGTTGCAGCGTGTGCTGACGTCCCTCAGCATGTCCTCCACTGAGTCAGAAGACTCTGTTTCATATCCTTCATC